GGGAGGCCTGAGCCGGCGGTGCAGGTCCCGGACTGAGGTCCAGGTGACCCTCCAGTCCCGGGGTGCCACTGGAGGGGGAGGAAGTCACGGCGGGGCGGGCCATCGGGTGGAGGGGAGCCTAGGGCACCCGGGCAGTCTGGGGGAGGAGCGGGCTGCCCCTTTGTGTGCAGCCGCTGTGGGGGCAGGGCGGGGTGGAAGCGCGCCGCGCCCTCCATCTTTGTGCCCCGCGAGCCGAGTTGGCTGGAGGGGCACGAAGTTGCTGAGAGCGTGGCGTGGTTGAGCAAGCTATCGGCTCCCACCAGCGCGTCTCCGCATGACACTGGTCGTTCGTGGCCAACAGCCTAGGCCACTAGGCCCTTGCCATGGTGTTGAAGGGAAAAGTTTGGGAATGGTCCTGCGGGAGTGTTTCCCCAACATTGTAGTGACTTCTTCACGTATAATGCCTGTGCCCTGTGGCCATCCCCTGGTAAAGACGTGAGGTGGAGAGAAAAAAGGGATAGCTCTCCTGAGTGGGCTTTGGGAAAACTTGGCCAATTGCTTGGCCCATTTCTAATAAACTGGTGTCATCTTATTTTTCCACTTATCTCTCTTCATCCTGATTTCCTCGCCATCTTGTGTGCACATGGTAAAGTAAATAGCTAGGCAAATAAATACCATGATTTGTCCCCCTTCTGTCTTATCCACTCCTGAAATACAGACAGGAGTCTGTATTTCTGCCCATTGATCCCCATGCACACACCTCCATGCTTTCTGGGTTGTGCTTGCACGTGCCCTGGATTCCACTCCATTTGAGGTATTAAGATTTAAATGAACAGTGGCGGGTGGGGGGATAGGGGGTGGGATGAGGAGCCCTATCCAACTTCATGTCTGGCGAAACAAAGAAGGCAGATGAGACACTGGGGCAGAGGCGGCCGTTCTGACTTCCAAGTTCTTGAGGTACAGTGCATGAACGAAGCTCTGGGCTTTGGAAGTCTGGACTTGTGGGTGCTGAAGACTTCGTGGGAGCCCCAGGAAGCCGCCTGAGAAGCGGTAAAGGCCTGAGCAGGCCTTCCTTGGATCAGGAGAGTGGGTGGAACAGGTACAGCGTGCAAGGAGGGGCCGAAGTCTGGGTAGTCTGGCCGTGAATCTGAGTCGTCTTCCACCTTTTCTCAAGGACAGAGCAATGACCTTCAGAGATCCCAGCTGTATCCCAAGACCGCAGGCTCTAAGCTCATCCACTCACCCGTTAAGACTACTTGGAAGAGCGAGTCTAGATGGCTCCAGTTAGTTTGGGGCCAGTTCCCTGGAGGTTATGGCATGCTGGCCAACTGTTACCCTACACAGAAAGCAGGAAGAAGGACCCAAGAGGGAAAGATGAGGCCTTGTCTAACTTCCTGGCTCAACCAGGATACCTCGAAAAGGGAGAGCCTAGAATGTGAGGCCCCGGGCTTGTATCCAAAACTTCAACAAAAATGTGACTGGGGGCTGGTGTGGAGGTGAAGGCAGGCGGGTCCCCTGAGTTACAGACAGCCAGGGCGATGTAGAAAGACCCTGTCTCCAGAAAAGGAAAAACAAACAAACAAAAGTGAGCATGGTGATACTCAGGGCTAGAGCAGGATGAGAGCTCTCTGCCAGCAGGGCCGGCTAGAGATCCCCTGTCTCTAAATAACAGGAGAGTGGAGGTATGCTTTGTCCAGGAGGCCAAGGCAGGTAAGCGTGAGTTTGAGGCCAGCCTGGTCTACATACTGTGGTCAGGACAGCCAGGGCTGCGGTGAGATCCTGTCTGAGGAAAAAGTTGTAGAGATGGCTGAGCTCCGCAAAGGTGCTTGTTGTGGTCAGGGTTACCTGAGTGCATTTGGGATCCCAGAGCGTGGAAAGGGAGAAACAACCCCCACAGGTTATCCTCTTGAGTTTCTCCTGTGCCCCCCTTCACACATGAAAGATAAAAACTAAATAACCTTCTGTTGGTCATTACGTGTGCACTGGGAGACGAGATAGGAAGACCTCCACCAGGCTGCCAGCCAGGTTGTACTGTATTGGTGTGGGATTTCCCTCTGTGTGCTTGAATACCATTGATGAATAAAGGAACTGCTTTGAGCCTATAGCAGAGCTATAGGGGAACAGAGCTAGGTGGGGAAAACTAAGCTGAATGCTGAGAGAGAGAAGGCAGAGTCAGAGAGAAGTCATGTAGCCCCACCGGAGCCAGATGGAACTTCTCCCGATAAGCCACAGGCTTGTAATGATACACAGATTAATAGAAATGGGTTAAATTAATATGTAAGAGTTAGCCAATAAGAAGCTAGAGCTAATGGGCCAGCCAAGCAATGATTTAATTAACACAGTTTCTGTGTGGTTGTTTTGGGGTTGAGCAGCCGGGAACCAACAAACAGCCTTTCACAACACTATATGGCAAGTGCTTTGCCACTGTAATATGAGATTTTTAAAAAATTGCATGATTTTTACTAATGATTTTTTTAAAGATTTATTTATTTATTGTGTTATAGTCTTCTGCCAAATTCATGCCTGCAGGCCAGAAGAGGGCACCAGATCTCATTACAGATGGTTGTGAGCCACCATGTGGTTGCTGGGAATTGAACTCAGGACTTTTAGATGAGCGGGCGGTGCTCTTAACCACTGAGCCATCTCTCCAACTCTTTACTAATGAATTTTACACCTTGGAAGTGGCTATGCCAAGACCAAGGGATGGAGCTGCCTCCCTTTGGTAGAGCCAGCCCCTCACCTGTCCGTGTCCGTGTGTGTATGTACAGTGGCAGCTGGCTGTGCCGTGTGCATCCTCAGCCTTTTGCCGGGCAGACTCATCAACGCCATCACAGTTAGCTGCAGAGTTCACTCTCAAGGCTCTGCACTCTACCATGTGTGCGTGTCTCACAGTTTGTTTACCCCGTCGGGCTGAAGTGCTCCTGGACAGTTGCTTCTCCAGCTGGCTGTACCGGGGGGTCCCTAAATGAGCAGATCTGCTCGTTCCTGTTGGGTCTGCGCCTAGGAGAGGACCTGCTGGACCGCAGGAGGTGTGTGCTGGGCTGCAGCAGACACATGGGACACTGCAGAGTAGCAGGCCACTCATCAGAGCTGGAGCTGACAATAGGATCGAACTGACCTGGCCCAAACTAGCCAAGACTGACCCACACCTCACAGTGCTGGCCTTGGGCCATACCAACCAGGACTGATCTGTACAGCCACAATTGGGGCCATCCTGATGCAAGGTACTTGCCCACTCTTCTGGAGCTACCCAGTTACCAGTGTATCTGGTCCTCTGGCAGGGTCAGGCCTCTGAACCCTGCTGACCACAAGCTCTACTGCCAGGAAGCCTGGCAGGCTCTATAGAGTGGGAGGAGGGCCTCTTCTGCTTCCAACTTTCGAGGAAAAACTATCAAGTAGGGAGGACAGAGCAGGAGGGAACACCTCCCTGCTGGGAGATCCCCAATGGACACACACAGAGGAAATGGAGATCCTGTGTATATTTGAGCACACACACATACACACACAACCTCAGAAAACGCCTAAGGTAAAGGTGGGTTGTGAGCAAGAACAAAGCTATGAACCTCTCACTCCTCCAGCCTTTCCTACTAGCAAGCAGCGTTCCCACCGCAGTCCTAAGGGAAGGGCCGGGCATGGGAGCACGGGCTTTAAAACCAAGCACTGGGCAGGCAGAAGCAGGCAGATCTTTCTGTGTTCAAGGCCAGCGCTTGTCTCAAAAACACAAACAAAATCAATTCTTAGGCTTCTGTGCCTTTCTGCTCAGTGTTGCCCCGAGCCAACTCTGGAGGCACCATGATGGGCTGCAGCCTTGAGCAGGGTAGCCATCTTTGTGTGTCAAGGCTCTTACATTGGGTGGAAGGGTAGGGGACAGACAAGGACATGGACAGTGTCAGGGATGTAGTCCATGCTGAGTAGGCACAGTGCAGGGACCCAGGGCCTGGGCAGGGGAAGCAGCCGGGCACAGATGAAAGAGATGTCTGGCATGAGGACAGGCTTGGCAGGCTGACGTTCAGTCATGTTCCCCCCACACCTCCAAAGCTACTGCTCCAAATGTTAAAACCTCAGTGACAAAGACTGACAAGGGGAGAAGTGGTGGTGGCGACGCCTTTAATCCCAGCACTCAGGAGGCAGAGGCAGGCAGATCTCTTGAGTTTGAGGCTAGCCTGGTCTACAGAGTGAGTTCCTGGACAGCCAGGGCTACACAGAGAAACTCTGTCTTGGTAAATGAAACAAACCAACAAAGAAACAAAAGGGAAAGCAAGGGAAAGGGCTCTGCCGCATTCCCACCAGGAGCTCTGAGGAGTCCACGGTTGCTGGTGTTTGTGGGGTATGGTGGCAGCCGAGCTTCCTGTCCCTGCCCTCCTGGTGGGTCCTCCTACTCCTTGCCTGACTGGGGCAGAGGCCAACAGCTCGGGCCTGTTGATCCAGCCTGGATCCTGCTCCTCCAGTTCTCCAACGGTTTTGTAAGTGCCAGTGTAGAACCTTTCTACCCGAAACACAAGGCCTGTTCTCCTAGCTTCAAACCCTCAGTGTGGCTGGGTGGGTGAAGTGGGGGCT